AAAGTTGAGATCTGAGCAAAAATAATTTTTTATTTTTAATTTAACATATCTTCTACGCGCACATATTGGTATTTCCTCTTGTCATATTGAATAATGTAATGTACTTTGAATAGTTGACTTTATGTTACTATGTACCGATTTAGTTTTCAATAATTCTATTTCAGAATTTTATGAAACTTTAATGAAACTTTTAACATGATATTTTTCCATTATTTTATCTCTTCATTTTCCCTTGAGGGTAAAATATACGTGAACGAGCTATTTTTTATTTTACACAAAATTGCATCGATTAAAAAGAAACACAAGGCGTAGACTATCGAAGGTACATGTCGAAATCAAAGTTTGAATAAAGATAGAACAAATAGGCGCGCCGAGAGACGTCGAGGTAGGCTGCTGGGGGGAAAAAAATGGTACCGCGCTGCGGTCAGAAAAAAATCCTGGGCGCGACGGTGAAACATTTCGCGGATCACCGGGACGGTAATGGATGAAACGCCGACAGAGAAGGTGAAACGTGCGGAAACGAAGGGTTGGCGTTGGGGAAAGACAGAAGGGTGCTCCTTGGAGGGTGCTCGCAGGGTTGCCTAGTTCGACGATAGAGTTTGAATAATGCAGACTTGCACAACGCTGCTTAAAAGTGATCGGTCCACCTCCCTCGCGCCCCCTCCCTCCGCCCCCCACCCCCTTTATCCTCTCTTCTCACCGATCCCTTTAGAATCTCACTCCCAGTTCGTCTAAGAGTACGAACTAAGATTGATTTTGGATTGGATGGGAATTGGGAATAGTGAGCCTGTTACTCTCTCGCAGCTCTCCTCTCCTCCCCTCCTCCTCTATCTCTTTTTCTCTCACGCTCTTCCCCTTCGTCGCGTCGCGTCAGTCCGATTTTCCTCCCTTTTCTGTTTTCTCCCGATATACATACGTACACATGCGATTACGCAATCGGACGTAATATGTTTATGTAACTCGAAAAGACGTTGAGGAGACGCGCTGTATTTACAATTCCTGTTGAGATTCGTTACTTCAGGTATCGGGACTGTGAATTGTAAAACGACAGTTACTAACGACACTACGTAATAACGTTTACGATCGGGCTGAGGATCTGGCTCGATATGATCCCGCTAGAATTTGCTATTTTATTTATTATTATTTCCTACGTTCGTATTTTCGTATTTTTCGCATCGCGTTTAAGAATCGTACAATGGATATTAACATTTTCATCGTCGCATTCATTTCGCATTCGCGGCTATCGCTCGCTTTCACGCTCAATTTACATATTTCGCTGCGTCTGTAATCACCACCGGCACCGATGGAATTATGGAAAGGACGTCCTTTGTGGACGTGACCGTGTATAAAAGCCTGGTCTCTGGGCGAGATTTATCCTGCCGACGATCAACTCTCCCAGGGGAGTATAAAAGTGCCAAATTAGAGTGGTACAGCGACTGGGCCAGTGCCGTGCCTATATAGGGCACGGCGAAAGCCCGCATTGCGGAATGAGAGATCGCCTATCGGGCTATCACTGCTCCCCCTACCCTTCGCGATGCCAATTTGCGGGAGATCGCAATTCCAGATGATGATGCGAGAACATGCGAATCAGAAAGCGGTCATTTAAATTCTCATTTAAATTCAGTCCTCCTAGAACTCATTACTCCTCGACGACGTCTAATAATTGACGCGCCGTTTAACAAAATATGTATACTATGTTGTTCATTATTATTCTCATTTCCCGCTCTCGAAAAGTTCCACCAGCGAGCTTCAGTAAGGGGAAGTTAGTTTAGAACAAAAATATCTTAAGCAGCCCGTAGTATATTTACCGGACTGCAGCACATTCTCCGAAGGCTTGCCGTTCCATGATTATTTTAAATCGAGCGCATTCCGCGCTCGTTTATTATTAGCGCTGTGTTACTTAAGATTGCATTGCTGAAATACGTCTTTTAGAAGAATAATCCTTTCCATGCGGTGCATCTCAAGAGTTCGCACAATTAGACGCTTTAATACCAGAACGTGTTACACGGAGGTGCAACTAAAATTTTCAAAGTGTCTAATGCTCAGATAGCAATGCATGTCTAAAAGACGTCACAAGGATATCTTTAAGACACCTTTTAGACGTGCATGTCTAACAGACAACTTAATGCCGCCTTAAAGACGTCTCTTAGACATGAATGCTATCTGGGTGTTTACAGATATTCGCCGGTGGAAAAACCAGAATGGCGGAAAATAAATATATCGGCGCGCCGTTGTATCATCGTAACGAGCGATGACACCGGATCTGCAGCGGCGCCGGGCGGAACACCGCATTGCGGGCACCCCTTGCGAGACAACACCGGTTTCGGTATCTTTCTCCACTCACACAGAAAGTTCACGTCAACTCTGGCAAATTTTCGATACTTTTAATCCGGTCACTCCCCATAATCCCCTCTCATTCTCCCACCTTTCGTTTCTCTCGTCGTCGCTTCACCTGCATCATTATTTCCTCTATTATCTCCCCGGCGATTGTTCTGACATTAAATGCACGTGGCTGCGCGGAAGTCGACCTATTTTTTTAGGGCCTACTATCTTCACGCGATTAACAAGCTTATACCCGAGTCGAAATTTTGGTACTATTTTGACACCTGCATAGACCAGCAATATCCTACCTTGATGACATTATATTTTTTTACTCCTCCCTTGAATGTTTAATTCTAAAAATTTACTTTAGCTCCTACTTAAAAGGACCTACTTTAATGCTAAATGGGCAAAAGTAGAAATTTCCGGCACTGTAAGTTTTTAAGTACGAGTAAATTTTGTACTTGCAGTTTGACCTCTTTTAGTGTCTTAGGTCCTACTGTATGATAGAATTAAAGGTTCAACCTAGGGCGAAAGTTTCGACTCGGGTAATCGCGAGGCGATCTCGTTTGACAACGTAACTTCTTTATGAAGGGAAATACTGTAGAATAACTTGTACGAGATCGTCGTTGGTTTGGCGCAACTCGTAGGAGCGCAACCATTTGATCGCAGATGAAAATTGCCGTGTCTGCGAGCCGGCGCGCGGAGATAAACGGGATAACGGATGGTAGTCTGCATTTTGAAAGTGATTCGTGCGAGCGGCAGCGCTACATCGAACCGGCTCCCGCGAGATCGATGCGTCAATAATTTCCTACGACGATCGTTCGGCACACCGACATTATTCATCGTGCGGAATTCCGAATAAAACAACCGCGCGACGGCGGAATCACGTTAAAAGCTTTCTGTCTTTTTCCGCCAAAACGATCCCCACGTTTCCTTCTGGCTGCCGGCCGTACGTTGCTTTTTTTCTCTCTTTCTCTCTCTCTCTCTTTCTCTTATCGTTATTCTGCCCTTTCGCCTTATCCGTCACTTTGGTTTTCTGCTTTCCACATTCTTCCAACATTCCGTTGAAAAACGCGAACGTGAGCGCAACGAAAGGGATAGTGAAGGAAGGGCAAGCGGATGAAACGGAAAGAAGCACCGTGGAAGTAAATTTCACGGTGCAGTTCATGAAAAGTGCCGGCAACCGTTAACGTAACACATCGAAATGCTCTCTCGTTCTTTCCGCGTGTGATAGTGCAGCAAGGGCTGGTAGGACGTGGGTGCGGGGGAGGGAGGAGCGGAGGGAGGGGCAGCGGGAAGTAGAGTTCTCTCGGATAAAAAGGATTAATTGTTCCCTCCATCGTTATCCCTTTCCTCGGTAAAAAGCCGATACAACGGCTCATTATCGGGGACTTTACGTAAGGAACGAGCGCGGATCGAGGTGGAATCGATCGAAAGAAATATCCCCGCTCATATCGCGCGCTATTCAGAGAGGGAATAGCGTTAACGATCCGCGGTTTGATATAGTCCTCTATAAATTTGCAAATTTTTAGCTCGCTCACGACGTCTCGCACGTGGGGACCGTTAGCTGTCTCGAACGTGGAAAAAGCGTGAGAAATGTGAATTAAACACATTTACATGTTAATATACAGCCGTTCGTTCTTCACCAGAGAACCGAATATTTTATTTATGCTCTCAATTTATTTTGAAAATGTGCAAGTAATACTTTCGTTTTTATATATAATCTAAATATAGGCAACATATAGAAAACGGCTAATGCGGGTCCAAGGCAAGATGTAGGTAGCCTATACTTGTAATTTCTTAAAATAATCTACAATACAAATTTTCGTATGAACGTACCCTTACATTTTTTTAAATGTACACTGGCACGAGACATTTATCTTGAAAGCGGTAGAATAAAATATATAATATTGGTAAAATCAGGCCTCTCTCTCTCTCCTCATTAAATTTTCGCAATCCGTCTCTATAATTTCTTAGACAGCGGCCGAAATCAGCGCACGCGTACCGTCGATTGCTTACCGTAAAACACCGGAACCCGAATTCGCCGCGACGGCCCTCGAGGCCGCGTGGCGAAAGTGAATTTTTGAAATCTGCTTGGTTCAGACGCGAAAACGTGCCGTGAATTCCGAGACCGAGTGGATGTTGCCGGTCAAATTTTTATCAGGCTTATTCGCGAACTTCGCTGGTCAGAATGAGGCGATCGATGCGCATAGGCGTCGCGGAGTCTGAAGCGCGTTTTACGTTGCAGAGAGAAGGCCATTACAGACGCCGATTACCGCTGGTAGTCGGCTCGGATGACACATTTACGAGCGAAATAAAAGTCTGACAATAGAGGACAGAGGGTGTAATGGAGGGGGCAATGGCATAGTGCGTCGGGAGACGAGTCAAGCCGGCGGAATAATGTCTCGTAGACAAAACGTCGTTATGAAGAAAAATCGCTTTAAATATGCATCGGGATAATCGAGATAATCGAGGTCGCGCGAAAATGGGCGCGCTAATGATTGAGACGTGGCGTACGTTTTACACGAGCGAGAGAAGGCTGCTACGATATGAGCACACGAAATAATTTCATCGTTCAACAATTAATATCGGCCGCTCAGCTCACTTGCTCCTCCCTTCTGTCTACATTCTCGACGTACAACAATTTAGGTCTAATGTTATATCCTTTTGTGTTTCAGAACGCTGGTTGGGGAGAATGGTCACCGTGGTCGAAGTGGTCGCCGTGTACACGGTGAGTCATTAATTGCGAATTTATGTGAAAGTTAGTTTAATTTAATAAATTTCTTAAGTGCTGCCCGCGCCCCGGTACATTTTCTTTTAACTATTGTTACACGGAACGCCCTTAAATTATTCTTGCCGTCTCTTTACGGCTGAGGACGAGGAGTGTCTCGCATTTGCTTTAATTTCATGTTTCGCCCCGAGAGAAAGAAAATTATCTTCATCCCGAGAACTTCCGTCCCCCCGCATTTCCTTCGCGGTAACGCGTTTTGTAATAATATGCGCGCGCATACGCGAGAGAAAAGTTGTTGTTTCCCGATGAAGGCGCCGTATTCCAGATGAGATTCCGCGACACGAGGAATGGCACATCCGGCGTACACATATTGTTCGGTAGTCGTACGACAAAAGGGCGATCTCGGCGGTGGCCTCGCCTCCTCCGCATGCAAGGCATGATCCAATCCCGCGATTTTTCATCGCCTGTTTCGCGGCGGTTCTAATATTGAGTCCTACCGGTAACACAACCGGAATGTTAAGCGTCCCGGAACTCATTTTGGCGGCCACCACCGGCAATAAGTTTGTTCTCGACTCACCCCGCTCGTTTTTCAGTTATACAGAAGTGGCCAGAACTAGGAGACGTAGCAATTTATGGCACTTACAACTTGCGAGCTGCACTTGGTCGGGAAACCTTATTGTGTGATCTACCGCGCTCTACTTATTGATGTTTCCACACCATCTGCACGTACCTTTAAGCTTCTCTCAGCTCCATTACGATTTCTGACAGCGCCAAATAAAATGTGACATAATAATAATTATTATTGATACAGTGACCGATTGCGTCGCGACGATTTTGTTTGCTGCAAATGGTAATATCGCCCGTAGGTGCTAGGCAATAATAGAGAATAGGCTTATAGCGCATTGCGCGTTATTTATAGCCATCTAAAAAGTGAACCTATCCGCAATATTATTTACGTAATTACAAAGCTTCGTAATTGGGATTAATCTGTAGGTATAATGTACGTTACGTATTATTATTCCAATTAACTAATTGTTTGTGCGTCGGTTATTGTTCAAAGCAGATAATTGCTATCCGTGTAGAATAATGCGATAAATCGATATCGACTTCTCCAAAATTGGAGCCAAGTCGTGATCAATTCAATCGGCAGCCCATTTAATAACGATGGTTACTATATAAATAGTCTGCTAATGCGATGCTCATTTCAACGCAAGCAAGAGATTCATATCCATATAGCTAGAAATTGAGAGAGAGAGAGAGATAGATAGATCGATAGAGAGAGAGAGAGAGAGAGAGAGAGAGAGAGAGAGAGAGAGAGAGAGAGAGAGAGAGAGAGAAAGAGGACTAGAATACAAACTACTTTGTAACCATTGATATTATTTGCGTACCGTTATATTAAGGGTGCTCGGTTAGTTTGCGCTCATTCCTCCATATTTAACGACTGTTCTCCATTAGCTTTGCTCTTCTTTTATTTCCCGAGTCACGTTTCTCGAAAAATTTCTCGACTCCTTCACCGTTTCTTTTACGAATTATAATTTCATTTGAAACTCTCGGAAAATCTTGTATCACTTACAAAAAAAAATCTGAGTAAGATGATTTCAAAAGTATCTGCGCATCGTCTTCTCGAGCTTTGCCTCGAGTAAAATTGCAGTTGATGTAAAATCTATAAAAAATCGCGTAAATTTCGGCTTCAGTTGGAAAATTTAACGCTACTCAGGGGACTTTGACTTATATATGATCATAATTGGCAAAAACGTCTCAAATCGTATTATAAATGGCACTTCTATTTAAATGTGCGAATGTATTTCGCGCTTCCGGGCGAGGCCAACTTATACTTGTTGAGGTAACGCAATTTCCAGCGAATAAAGATCGCTCATGAAATTAGCGTGAAGTAGTAAATTGAATTAACTAACTGCGTCGCGACGGCACGCAGTGGTGAAATGCAATTAAACTCTTGACGATTTCACCGCGCCTTGATTATGAAAAGTTTATTGAATAAGCGTGCCTGGGGAAAGACATCCGGTCGAAACACGTTTAAAAAAGTCATTATACTTAATTAACCGATAAATTTCTCCTCTCTTTCAGGACGTGCGGTGGCGGAATCTCGCGGCAACAGCGTCGATGCAGGCGCAGACCATGCAAGGGGAAAGTTTGGACCACCAGATATAAAATCTGCAATCCGGGGGTGAGTGTTTCCACGTCTAATTTGGCTAAGTACTTGTCGCACTTGTTTCGTGTGTCACGAAATGAAAATTCCCAGCATCTTGTTGTATCTTCTTCTTACGCAATAACAAATGTTATCACCAATGACCAAATGTGCTCTGAAATAACGACACATGAATTGCCGAGGCAAAAAGTAGCTCTAAAAAAATTTTAGCGAGCATTTATATTAAAAATAATAATAAATTGTTCCGCCACGAACAGAATCTTAAGCTAAACGGAGCAAGCAAAGGAAGAAATAGAATATTGTCATTAGCGCAATTACAATAACGCGTGGACACGGCAGAAGATTCAAGTTGTGCCGGCAATGAAGCCAATTCCGCACTCGGCAATTTTCGAAGACGAAAATTTGTCTACGGCAGAAAATTCCCGGTTGGTCTTTAACGCGATGCGGAATATATCAGAAATGTATAAGGCGAACAGCGTTTCGCTTTATACGTATTAGCGCATTCAAAGCGAATGTTACCAGGCAATGATGTGGCAAACCGCTATTGATTTTCCGTTATGCAAATGTATAGGATGTATCTTAAATCTACCTGGCCTTTTATTTAGGGATTCTTTTATGTGCGTCTGTTGAAGCACGAGTACAGCCGACTCGATCTAAACTTCAAACCAACGTGTCTACGCGGCAAAGTATCGAGCGTAATCGCGCGTACGTCGGAGCCACGCATACAGACGCGTAAAATTTCGCGGCTTCGGCCACGCTCGCGCATTAATTGCATGTTCAATCGCGTTACATTTAACAGTGACACCGCTATTTTACGCTCATTACGAGTGATCACTGAAAATACTCGCGCTGAGCGCGAGGGCGACACAGCCCCGCGACGCGATAATGCAAACGGATCGCGCTGATTGCGAATTAAATGGCATTTATAGTCGCAAATCGTTCTTAAATATTTCACCCCGCGCCCAACGGTACGCCAACACTGCGCGGCAACACTGAGATGCAAATTGGATGCATGATGAATTCGATATTGGCGCGTAACGGCCGACAGGGTTTCTCGTGTGTAAGCGCGTTCTGCACCGCGGCTAAAACCAATACGCACGCTCTGCAGTTATCCGGGGTACCCTCGACGTTGTATGGCGTAGGTGCAGGTGACCCGACCTATATCCGTATCTGGAGCAAGTTTCGGAGAGAACGCGGGGCTATACGTATTAAACAGCCCTCCACTTCGACGCGTGTCTTATCCGATCGATACCCGGCCCGAGAGTCGATATTCTTCGCTATTTTCAACCCCTTTTAAACTCGAATGGAAATACAGAGCGGGCGTACTTGGAGGAATCGATATTAGTCACGACAATCGGCTGGTAACCCGATTCAAGAGGTTTAACGACCTATCGTTATTAATTCGCGAGAACGCAATTATGTACGTAATCGCGTAACCATATTCGCGTGTCTGTTAATAGCCCCGTTGTAAATTTCATCGTATTTAATAGCAGTTCCGCTATTTTCGCGTGCGCATCTCTGCATTGTCTATTCCCGTTTTCGTTTTATTATTCAATGCCCCTCGTTAGGAAATACGGTCGTTTGCGTACGATACTTTCAGCATTACCCTTTAATTATCTCGGTAAATTGCCTCGTCTCAAACGCAGTCGGGAAATAAGAAAGGGGCAAGGTCCGCCATTAATCAGTTTAATCCCAGGCAAGATGACGAGTGCCTTTCGTATTGCTCGAAATTTCGAAATAAATCAAACGTCAATCGCGGCTGACGTGAAAGTCGATCGGAGGTACTGCCGGCTTCATTCCGCGTGTGACCATGACGTGACGGCACGGCGACGCTTCTTCTCGCGAGTGCATTTCACGATACCGCAGCTTCGTGTATTAGTTTCCGCGTCACGTATCAATCAATTGCTGGAACAACGGTTCAATAATACGCTCCTACAGGTATATACGCGCTTAAAGCCCGTATTCAATAGAGCCTCTCCGCGGCGTGAAAGAAGTCGAGATATAAATTAGAATATTTCCGATCGATTTGCGCCGCGCCGTAAAATAAACCGCGTGAAGAATCGCCGGCGTATATTGAAGTCCCGTTGCCATTAAAGGACCCGTCCTGTATATCAAACTTCCAGATTCATCAGAGAGCGATTAGCGACGCCACTTTTCAGACCGATTAACACGCTTGTCGCATTAACGCGACGACGCTCGACCCAAATTGACGTCGTTAACCGACTCGCTCAGCACAACGGCGCTGGATCTCTCGAGAGAGATCGTATCCCGAGTTGCCGTAAAATCGTAAAAGTGCAAAGCGCCGTCGGTCCCAGATGGGAACCGCCTTTGTCGCCGTGCGGCCGCGCGACCGACGACGACGTGACATTCCGCCCGCGGGGCCGATGGTCGCCCCGGCTTGCACGAGAAAATGCACTCGCCTATGTTCGTACACGCCGTCCGCGGGCAACAAAGGTATCGGTGGCCGCGTCTGCGGAGCCGCGTCGATCTTACCGAGACGCCATCGACCGCTCGCGCGTTCTCGCCTTTTCGCGCTTACACCGTCCGCATACGTAACGCGCAATATCTTTTCACTTAACCGGACTGAAACGTTTTATTGTCCTTCGCCGACGGCGACGAGACTCCACTCGCAGACTTACATTTCCGGATAGCGCGGAGATACCGCGTGTATCACCGCTGCAGTCCCCTAGGACCACGTTAGATTAGACACTCTTAATCTTATCGCGTAGTATCGCCAAATTCGAGGGACAATTTTTTAAGTATAATTGAGATACAAGCTGATAGAAGGTATTTTTCCCGGTATATTAGCACGAGGTACAAGATATATGAAGTAGTAATGAATATATGACGAGCAGTTGGAGGTACCGCCCGAGGTACCGTCTACATTCTTAATCTTGTATTGCGTAGTACCGCCAAATTCGAGGTATAATTTTTTAAGTATAATTGAGATTTGAGTTACATGTTGATAGAAGGTATTTTTCCCGGTATATTAGCACGAGGTGCAAGATATATGAAGTAATAATGAATATATGACGAGCAGTTGGAGGTACCGCCCGAGGTACCGTCTACATTCTTAATCTTGTATTGCGTAGTACCGCCAAATTCGAGGTACAATTTTTTAAGTATAATTGAGATTTGAGTTACATGTTGATAGAAGGTATTTTTCCCGGTATATTAGCACGAGGTACAAGATATATGAAGTAATAATGAATATATGACGAGCAGTTGGAGGTACCGCCCGAGGTACCGTCCACAAATTTACTGTACATTTTTTAGGAGATACAAGTGGTTACCGTACGTACCTCCTAAAGTAGTACGAGATACAGTGTATCTTTAAATGCCTGTCTCTCAATACCAGCGAGAGATAGCTTTAGTTATTATCTTCCTTCGTCGAGCCACACTTGCGTGATCGCGTCTGCTAAAGACACGAAGTGCATATTACATACATTTTGGACGCGTTTTGTACTGTAGATATTCCAGGCATTTTTCGTGGCCAGTGCCAAGAATTAAATTGCGAAGGTACAGAGTACATTCGCAAATTACGTAATGTTGATTAATCTTCCGTTTTATGTCTATACTGTGGGCACCCACCAACAAGACATGCAAATAAGACTCCTAATGTCGAGGTACTATCTTCCCTCCTATTTCGGTGGATTTTTATGTACCTCATAATTACACATACTTTTTATTTTAACGTGTACCTCCAATTCTTGGCGGTACACGCTTAAGAGTGTTCTCATTTTCGGCCCAAATGCAAACGCGTACATTGTCGCTGCTCATTTTATTATTTATTGTATCAACGCGCTCGAAAAAAAGAAGAAAGTATTGGGTCTTGCCATAAATAATGCTGTATAAAAGGAAGCTTGATTTATTCCTCGGCTCAAAACCGAAAGACGTTTAGCTCCAGGGAACTGAAAATTTAAGATTAAAATGAGAAGTAAATAATGGGGAAAAATAGGTAAAATGTTTTGGATTGAAATTAAAACAAATTAATAAAATCCGCTCTACTGCGGTAAACGCAATTTCGAAGGAATAAGGACCTAAAATTAAAACGTTTTTTATTTATTTCAAAAATGTCTCCAAGAAACTGCTTTACTCGTGCGATCATCCAGCATTTAATAACCCTTTCGCCGTGGCTCGCTTTATTATATTGTAAATATAATTGGAGCTTATAGAGAGCATACATACATTACGTTAGCTTTGACAACAATAATAGTGTTTTACTATAAAATATTAGCACGCACATACTGATGGCTGCAATTATGCAGGGGTTTACGATGCGGCACATATTACCATGCGCATGTATACATATCGCGTAATCATAAATACATCGTGCGATATACTGCAAGACAAACTTGTTGACAAATTTGCATCCCCGGCTTTGCGCGGGTATAAGAGCAGCTACGGAAGTGACGAAGGACGGGAAGAAAAACGCGAGTCCCCGGCTTCGTCAGGTATTCCGTTCGCACGATGAACGTTAGCGGCAGTAGGTTTGAGCAGATTCCGCGAAATATTCTTCGCTCGCTGCATTAATCTTTCAGGATTATCCCTATGAGATGCGATAGCCCCGTAATTTTCTCGCGTTTTACACTGGCCCTTTGGGTTCCTTACATATGCAGCGATAACGAAGCATTTGCGAACTCGACGCGTCGCGTATATTTCTTCTCTCGCTAAAAATTATTGTTCGCCAAATATATTCACAAATATATAAAGTGTATTCTTTGTTAAAATATCTTTTGGTAACCTTTTGTTATCAGTAGCGCCAGAAATGTACACATTTTTAGGAGCGTTACGGACAAGAAACATTTAATTATCTTGTTTTTAACATCGAGCTTTCTCCTTTCACGAATAGACGAGATTTATGTTACGCGAGGGAGATTTTTCCCGACCTGTTCTTAAAATTTGTCGCATTTTTTTTCCTGCGTCAAAATGACGTGGATTTTGTTCCCATCCGTGAGGCATCTCTCATTCAGGCTGATGGACAATTTTCCGTGAGCCATAAGTGCTGCCTCGCTTCT